TTTTGTGACTCGCAACTCGCATTTTGTGACTCGCAACTCGCATTTTGTGACTCGCAACTCGCATTTTGTGACTCGCAACTCGCATTTTGTGACTCGCAACTCGCATTTTGTGACTCGCAACTCGCATTTTGTGACTCGCAACTCGCATTTTGTGACTCGCAACTCGCATTTTGTGACTCGCAACTCGCATTTTGTGACTCGCAACTCGCATTTTGTGACTCGCAACTCGCATTTTGTGACTCGCAACTCGCATTTTGTGACTCGCAACTCGCATTTTGTGACTCGCAACTCGCATTTTGTGACTCGCAACTCGCATTTTGTGACTCGCAACTCGCATTTTGTGACTCGCAACTCGCATTTTGTGACTCGCAACTCGCATTTTGTGACTCGCAACTCGCATTTTGTGACTCGCAACTCGCATTTTGTGACTCGCAACTCGCATTTTGTGACTCGCAACTCGCATTTTGTGACTCGCAACTCGCATTTTGTGACTCGCAACTCGCATTTTGTGACTCGCAACTCGCATTTTGTGACTCGCAACTCGCATTTTGTGACTCGCAACTCGCATTTTGTAACTCGCAACTCGCATTTTGTGACTCGCAACTCGCATTTTGTAACTCGCAACTCGCATTTTGTGACTCGCAACTCGCATTTTGTGACTCGCAACTCGCAGAAAAGAAACCCTCTCAGCAAAACTGGTGGTGCTATCCTTGTGTTTCAGCTGGAGGGCTGAAATGCAAGTTACGATAGCGCACCACGTCTTTCAGATGAGACATTTAAGCCGTTGTCCCGTGTGCATTATGGCCTGTGTGCACATTTAAAGAACGCTGTACACTATTCGGAAAAGAGGAGGGGGATTGTCTCAATCACCATCAGAATGACCCCACTGGTCCGAAATAAGTCTTCTTCAGACTTTCGTGGGTTTTTGGTGTTTACGCTGAATAAAACCAATCCAATCCAATCCAAAACGTGCTGTTTGTAGTAAAATCTGAAAAAAAAAAAAAAAAAATCCATTCAAAACTTGTGCAAAATTCTGAGAGGATGTTGAAATTGCGAACTTGTTTCTTCAAAATGTGTTTTTGTTGTATTCGATTTAATTAATCATACATACTTCAAACAAACAGATGTACAAATTCCAGTCTTTCCGTTTTACGGCTTCGTTTGGTCACGAATTGTCCACTTGATAGGCGGTTCTCTGTATACAGACAATAAGTAGGCCTATCTATAACCATTCCTTTATTTCGTGGCGAAAAATTGTCCCCTTAAGGGGTGTCCCAAGGAAAGAGGTTCTACTGAAGTGCATCATCTTATCCTCGCTGGACGATCTACTTTACGTTTTTAAAGAGACGGTCTGTGTTAACCTAACATAAAAAAGACACTTGGATTTGCTTGCTTAACGTAGGCCTATTTATTCGAGCCACGAGCGTTTATTGTTGAGAGAGGTTCATAAGGAGGTGTGGTAGAAAACAATTAACGATTCTAGGGAGGCGTTTATTTAAAATGAGGCTCTCGATAGGCGTTTATTCAAAGGGGGCGTTTATTCGAATACCAGTAAATTCGGTATTTCTATATCTAAGTAAATAGGAAGTTACTAGATGCATTAATGATATTTATGCTCCCTAGACTGGAATTTCGTATTAAAAAATGTTTGTAAATCAGATGTAGGGCCTAAGTAAAAATGGTTTCAACCCTATCATTGGAAGATGATAATTTACGTGATTGTAATCCATTTTGTTTTTGGTGTTTAGGCCCTACTGTTTTCGTTTTGATACCGCAATGTACAGTATTATTATTATTTTTTTTATCGTCATTCAACCACAAGAGGGCGGCACACTGAAATTTCATATTGCAAGTGTACATAATTTTTTTTCCTGTTAAGTGTACTTATTTGTTTCTTTACTTCAAATAATCGCATTCTAAAGATTATTAACGCTAACACGTTAAGATTAAACAAGTAATTGGAACCATAATTTTATTAGAAATATCGGAGTATAGCAACAATAAAAGAACGATCGCCACAATTAATAGTTACACGTACCTGTGATACCCATTCGCTCTGCGAACATGCAGGGGACACTATTACATTGTACTGTGTACATAGAGTAGAACCCATATTAAGGCCGGGGACACCTTCGGAACCAACACAAATGTCACTTGTACGATGACACGAGTCTTCATTCTTTTAGTTTATTCAGGGAACAGTGAAATTACTAATTTAATTTAATTACTAGTTTAATTGATCTAAACACTGTAATGAGTACCATTCGAAAAAAACAACCAACCAGTAAAAAGTAACAGTAAGGTTCCAAAGGCTCCACTGTTATTTTGTATTAAAAAATCGCGATTGTTTGTCTGATTCTTTTTTGTGAAATCCATCAGTCAAGTTCGGGAAATTTAATAAAATTTAGTAACGCTTTCAGATAGATTAAGGTACGGTACCTCGAGGAACGCCGCGATTACGTATACATTGTAGAACTGGGACACCCCAGCCCCCATGTGTGACACTTTTTGATGGCAAATAATTAGAAAATAATATAGCCCCCCCCCCCATCACTACCAGGGGAGGATTCAGATTTTTTTTAACGAGGCGAGAACCGGAGGAACGTCCCTCCCTAAATCCGTCCATGGGACGACACCCCATTTAAGGGGAAAACGTTTTAATTCCTAACTGTTCCCCGTAAAAGGGGTTATGTAGTCGGTCTGTCTCTTATACACATCTAGATGTGTATAAGAGACAGGTAGTAGATGACTCAGTAGTAGGTGCACTAGTAGTAGATGATTCGGTTGAAGGTGAATCAGTAG